GCCTGACCCATTTCACAGGCTACCAAGAAACAGAAGCGAGGGCTGTGAAAATACTCGGGGAGGTTTTTATGTACGATACTCCGCGTGAGCAGTCTCGTGATCCTGTGGTGGACTGCGTAGAAGGTCCCTGTAACCCGGAAGCTTCTGCCGTGCTCGTGCTCCCCCCAACTCCTCTTTCCCTCAGGACCCTCCCACCCTGCGGGGTCGCCAGGGGCAGCGGGCAATAGCTCGGGACTGGATACAACAGGTGACACGGCTGAGGCAGGACGGGACAGGTACCGGACCGACAGGTGCGAGCCTGGGAGAGAGAGAAGCACCAGTCCTCCGTGGTCACAGTCCCCACCCACCTCCCTGCAGTGTCCACTCGGTGACTTTGCTGCTGTAGACACCCAGCCCGGCACTGTTGTAGGCGGCCACCTCGATCTCGTAGTTGGTCCAGATGATGAGGTCCTCCAACAGCAGGTTGTTGACATCGGCATCCGTGATGTTCTTGAACTGATACCCGACAGGCAGCCCGGCCAGGCAGTACCTGAGGGGCGGAAGGCAGGATGCGGTGGCTTGGAGTCAGCCTGCTTGGCGCGTGCCCAGGAAACCGGGTGTGACAGAGTGAGCGTTCCATACCCACGCTGTCCAATATGGCAGCCATGAGCATATACAGCTGTTGGGCACTTGAAACGTGGTTGGCACTGGGAACCTGTACATTTATTTCCTTTATAGTCAAAACCACAGGTGACCAACGGCCATCTCCCTGGATAGCACAGGCCTAGTGGATGTGTCTGTTCTTTCCGATGGGGGAGGACACTGGGGAGATGGCTACATGACCACGGACAATAAGAGTTCTGGGGAGACCACACTGGCCTCACCTTGGAGGGCTCATTGATGGAGGGCCAAGTCCAACCAAAGGTTGGGCTCATTTTCTTATACCCTCCAGAACAGTGGCTCCCCTTTTGACGGTCATTCACTTAGGTGAAGGGAAAACATCTGAGGCTACCTACTTTGCCAATTTCGACCTTCCACTGGAAGAAGAACACACGGTAATAAAGAAGTGGGGTCTGTTCAGGCGAAATTTTGGAGGCTGGATAGCCTCTACCCATTTTTGGAAAATCAGAGGCCTCAAATTATTTTGATGTGTTACGACACCCCATAGCGGTGGTTCTCAGAGGCTTATCCCGCATCAGAACCCCCTGGAAGGCTTGTTAAAACACAGGTTTGCTGGGCCCACCCCCGAGTTTCCCATTCGGTAGGTCAGGTGTGGGACTTGAGAAGTTGCATTCGAATTGATGCTGCTGCCGGCCTCAGGACCGCCCTCTGAGAACCACTGCTGATTTGGGGTCACCAAAAGTTCACAACAAAATGAACCGATAAGGGAGCAAACTCAACAATAACTTCTTCCAGAGAGCGTAAGCCTATAGGAAAAGGGACATGCCTTTTGCAGCCAGCCAGAATTCAGAACATTGGTGAATGTTCAGTAACTTCCACTTATGCTAATTTTAATTCACAAAACCGAACTAATAGCACTTAATAACTCAGTCTGAGGTTATCAGGGACGTGCCCTTGGTCAAGGGGAGACAGAAAAGTCTATATAACTGGGCTTCATTTGGCAGTAAGGACCAAAGAAAGGAGGTCCGCTTTTTGACCAGTTCTTGACCCAGTAGTTGGTTTCAGTTGGAATATTTTTGGTTTCCTGGGTGGTTGGCCCCTTGAATATTTTACCTGTCTCTCTGGGCCTGTGGAGCCGTGACATGTGGCAGACTTGCCCACCCATACAGCCTTGAGGACACGACACTGTACCCCTTCCCTCAAGCATTCCCATTGGTTTCCAAGGCTCTGCCTTCTGGAAGTTCTTCTTTATGTCTAACCCAAGTCTTTCATAACACAGTGAAGGCAGTTCTTGTTGCCGGGCCCTCGTTAGATGGGGAAAGACCCGCCGTGACCTTGCTGTTTCCCAATCCACGTCCGACCCTCCCCTTGAGTCTGGGCTGCCCTACCTTTCCCGGGATTGGACGCCTACCTAATGATGTAGCCCTTGAGAAGGCCATTCTGGTGGCTCTCCGGAGGCGGCTGCCACTGGATCATGATGGACTGGTTGGTCCGGCCGCTGGCGATGACGTTCTGTGGAGGGGCCGTGGGGGGTTCCTCGGGAAGGGAGATCCTGGATATAAAAACGTCAAGAGTGGGTGGGACAGGTTGCTTGGGTGGCTTAGTTGGTTAAGGTGTCTGCCTCTATTTTGGCTCAGGTCATGATCTCACGGTTCGTGAATTTGAGCCCCATGTTGGGCTCTGTGCTGACAGCTTAGAGCCTGGATCTTGCTTCCAGTTCTGTCTCCTCTCTCTGACCCTCCCCCGCTTAAGCTGTCTCTTTCTCTCTCTCTCAAGAATAAATAAACATAAAAAAAAGAGTGGGTGGGCTTTTCTACTCTTAGTCTTGATGGCAAACACAGGAGTTTAATGGGAAATGAGGAGGCTGCTTTGTTCCTGGATGACTCTGCACAACTGCTGTGCGCTTTTGGGCAAGTCACTTGACCTCTCTGAGCTTGTTTCTTTACCTTTTAAAGGAGTATAATAAAGCTCCACCTGTCTGCTTTATGAGACTGGTTGAGGTTCAAATGACACCATGTATATATATGAATATTTTTAAAACGCTAAAGGGGCACCTGGGTGGCTCAGCCAGTTGAGCGTCCGACTTCGGCTCAGATCATGGTCTCACAGTTCGTGAGTTCAAGCCCCGCGTCGGGCTCTGTGCTAACAAACAGCTC